ACGACCCACCCTAAAAGGGTTTTCTGTAGCGTTGGTTGGTTAGGGCCACTTTTAATTTGGCCAACCGCTAACAGATCGAAAAAGGTTYCTGCACCCAACAAGATATCAATCCTTTTTGATTTATGGAATTCTGGATCCGCCAATTTAATATTGTGCGGAATTTTCCAGCCGTTAATATTTATGTTATGGTCTGGATGGTTAGCCGAAATGCAACGCATTACCCAGAATTCCGCCGAAAATTCGTAATTAGTTACCCGCGACTTAATTTTGTCCCCACTTTCGTATTGGAATTTCCAATTCCTATTATGTTTAACGTTTTGTGTTGGCGACGAATCCGCAAATTTTGTGTCAAGTTCTCCGTCATAAAGTTGACTTGGGAGCCTGAGTCCAGTAGCGCTCTCGCGGGCAGGTATTCACCATAACTGGTACTCACTTGAATAACAGCTGTAGCCAACATTACTCGATCCGGCATACTCGCTGTATGCATGGCATGTGTGGTTGATGGTTGCGGATGTGATGCAGCGGGGAAGGAAACCGGGTACTGGTGCAATAATGTGTGATGCGATCGATTGCATACACGACATCGATCCGCTCTGCACTTGGATACAGTATGCCCCTTACGCAAGCAATTTATGCATAAATCACTTCCAGTGAGAGAGGAGTTGGGGATCTCATTATATCTGATAATGGTTTAACAACTGAAAAGACGATTAAAACGGGGCCACACCTTGTTCAGTTTTTATTAAAGCATAAAATTGCTCCTCTAAAGGACGACTTATTTTCATTGTCTCCTTTTTCCAACCAATCTATATATGTGAACACAAACAATCTGAAAATTTTTTACTTCAAACGACGCCCAGGACTTGCACACTATTTTTTATCTCTCCATGTTTTGTTGGGATTCCGTACTGCTTTATTTTTTCTTTTCCAAGAATGAAGAGAAAATACAAACGAAAAACCATAATTACAATAAGGTCGCATTTTCGCGTATTTTTTTACAGAATTAATTTGTTTTTTATATAGATTTTCACTACTTCTAATATAAAAATCCCAGAAACGACGAATACATAATAAAGTGCCAAATATAGCGGTTGGGCCTTAGAATAGCATCCTTGGATTTTGGGGCTAATATGGATATATGCGGATAGAAGAGGTTCTCCAGATTAAGAAAATTTATACATAAAAATATTAAAGCTGGAAAATTCAACTATTTATAAAATATATCTTTTTATTTATAATAAATTTTACACATTTGTTTCGTAATAAATAGAGCAAAACTCGCTTTAATTCCTTATAATAATTAATGATTAACTTTCGTTAATATCCATTTATTCATACAGTAAGAAAATTGTTGCAAACAAGCGAAAACTAAACCATATGTCAATAAAAATAAATTATAAAGGTAAATAATACCGTCAATACAAATATGATCAGGGCGAAATAACTGAAGGCGCCCAGGTGTTGATCCGCCTAAGATTATTTTTTTGAAAAGTGCTCAACGCGAAAAAACTGAAGACGATTGGTAATGGTGCGAACAGGCTTATATTTCTAAGCGTGGCAGAAAAAGTAGATAGATAGATAAATAAATGAGGAATGTACCGCGACCTTAGGTCTATTGTGCCCTCTTCTAAATCACAAGGACTCACTTAGTCCCAACATATTGATAAGGCACCGCACAAACATTGAAAAAATTGTTAAAAGGAAGACAGAGAAACTCCACTAAACTTTCTGCACCATTTTCGACTGTGCGAACACACAAAGCGACGAATGAACATATTCCGATAGAGAGCGACAAAAGATTCGCCGTTTGAACGCCATAAAATAGTAGTACATGTATATTGTGTTATCGATTTTTAGGCGGGTAGAAAGTTGTTGTTTAAAAAGTGAAAAACAAAGTACATACAAAGTAAGTATCGTGCACTAATTTGTAATGATTGTGTAACTTCTTGCTCAAAATATTTATCGTTTATATGAATATTGTTATTTAAACTACGTTTACAATGATATTCAACTTTTGCGAACTATTTAAATTGGTCAGTACATAGGTTATATCAACGTTCGTGTGCCCAGCTCGGGCTCGGGCTCGGATGAGCGATATTGCGATCTTTCAATATCCATGATTTCAGTAATTGTTACATTTAAACAACTGATTTTATATGGCTATTGCGATCGCAACTAAGTCTACGTTCAAACGGAGATCATTGGTTTCACATATTGCTTCCAAGTTACTACTATTGATGTGATGGCACGATTCCGATTGGTGAAAGGTAAAAAAATCCGAATTTCCATATAAATGGGGTATCTGCGGATAGGGGAGCTCCTCTAGAGGAGGAATATCGGAAAAAACAATATAAAAATAAAATATATTTTTTAAAATATTCACAATTAAAAGTCCAAAAATTTGTACTAATAACAGATGGTATTTCTTTCACATTTATTCACTTTTTCATTCTGTATATTTAAATATAAACTCGAAACATTGAAATAAATTCACATTTCGATTTTATTTTGTAATATTTTACCTAAATTTATTAATTTAAAATAGCAGCGCACTCGTCGTTACAAAGGTTAGATTGTTTACAATTATGAGAAAACCGAGCGGTACCACATCTTAAACACTAAATATGTAGGATTCTTAATCTTCTTGATTTTTTTTGCGTGTTCTACATTAATTACAATAAAAAAAACATTCCAACATTTTTCAAGTTATAATTCGGTTGTGAACATTGGGAGGATGGAGTCATGTGTACAAGGTCACGCAAGTGAGGATAGTTCTCTGATCGCCATTCACTTGGGAGCGCCCAGCAACGATTCTTTTACATATCACTCAAGCAGCTCACGACTTCCGGCCCTTGACCAAGTATCCTCTGGGTAGCCTAAGAACATCCGTTTGAAGGCGAGCTAAAGAGAGAAGGCGAAACATTCCCTGCATAGGGTTGTTCACTGGGTTTGGGACCCGCCACGTCAAAAAACCAACCCAATGAAAACGCAACAACAGCCTCGGATGAGAGACCCCACTTTTGATGACGACCATGGCAAACGAAATAAGGACTACGAATTGAGGGCATGCACTTGGAATGTCCGGTCCCTTAATTGGGAAGGTGCCGCTGCCCAGCTGGTTGATGTAATCGTAAAAATAAAGACTGACATCACTGCCGTCCAAGAAATGCGATGGACGGGACAAGGACAGAGACTAGTAGGTAATTGTGGCATTTACTACAGTGGCCATATAAAAGAGAGCAAGTTTGGTGTGGGATTCGTCGTGGGAGAGAGACTCCGTCGCCGAGTACTATCATTCACCCCGGTGAATGAACGTCTAGCCACAATCCGCATTAAAACGAGGTTCTTCAACATATCGCTGATTTGCGCCCACGCCCCAACGGAAGAGAGGGACGATGTGACCAAAGATGAATTTGTGAGTGCTCTGAAAGCACTTATGAGAGCTGCCCCCGCTACGATGCCAAAATCGTGCTTGGCGACTTTAACGCCAGGGTGGCCAAAGAAGATATCTTTGGCACTACGGTCGGTAAATTCAGCCTCCACGGTGAAACATCCCCAAATGGGTTGAGGCTGATCGACTTCGCCACCAACCAGATCGATCATGTTGTGATAGACGGAAGACACGTCTCCAGTGTTTTAGATGTGCGTGCGCTCCGACGTCCTAACATCGACTCGGACCACTATCTTGTTGCAGCGAAGATTCGCACGCGCCTCTGTGCAGCAAAAAACGCACGCCGTCAAACACAAGGAAGGTTCGACGTTAAGAAGCTGCAATCACAACAGACAGCCGAACGATTTTCTACTCGGCTTGCACTCCTGCTCTCTGAGAGCACTCGTCAGCAACTCGGTATAAGGGAACTGTGGGATGGCATTTGAAAGTCCTTACGTACATTTCAAACTCCAAACTCCTTACTGCAACCGAAACCATTGGTTTTCGGAAAGTACAAAAGAACAGCTGGTACGACGAGGAGTGCCGTGTCGCAGCGGAGAGAAAGCAGGCTGTCTACCTCGCAACGTTACGATCGACCACAACACATGCGGGATGGCATAGATACCGTTGAAGAGGGAAGCAAGACGCATTTGCAGAAAAAAAGAAGGAGGCCGAAATGCGTGAGTACGAAGAGCTTGATAACCTGGCCGACAGAGATCGAAAATTCTACGGAAAAATGCGGCGGCTTACAGAAGGTTTCAAGACCGGAGCATACTCTAGTAGAACCCCCAAATGTGATCTAGTCACCGATGCCCAGGGCATACTTAAATTATGGAGGGAACACTTGTCCAGCCTGCTGAATGGCAGTGAGCGCACAACGCCAGGAGAGGGCGAACCCGATTCCCCAATCGATGATGATGGAGCAGACGTTCCATTGCCCACCAGGAAAAAGTTCGAGTAGCAATTACCCGCCTGAAGAACAACAAAGCGGAGGGAGCCGGCCGAGCTATTCCGGCCGAGCCGAGCTATTCAAACACGGCGGCGAAGAACTGATAAGGAGCATGCATCAGCCTCTTTGTAAAATAGGGTCCGACGAAAGCATGCCCAACGATTGGAATTTAACCCCGACCCCGTTCCCACGACAGTCGGGTCTACGAAAACCGGAACGGACCCGGATTTTTATCCGGTCAAGGACTGTCAACTCGGCAGAATTTCTGCCGTTACAACAACAACAACAATTGGAATTTAAGTGTGCTATGCCCAACCCTCAAAAAAGGAGACCCCACAAGCCTCCTGAATATCGCATATAAGGTTCTATCGAGCGTATTGTGTGAAAGATTAAAGCCCACCGTCAACAAACTGATTGGATCTTATCAGTGTGGCTTCAGACCTGGAAGATCAATAACCGATCAGATATTCACCATGCGCCAAATCTTGGAAAAGACCCATGAAAGGAGAATAGACACTCACCACCTCTTCGTCTATTTCAAAGCTGCTTTCGACAGCACGAAAAGGAGCTGCCTTTATGCCGCGATGTCTGAATTTTGTAGCCCCGCAAAACTTATACGGCTGTGTAAGCTGACGTTGACCAGCACCAAAGGCTCCGTTATAATCGGGAAGCCGTTTGATCCTAAACGAGGTTTCAGACAAGGCGATTCCTTATCGTGCGGCTTTTTCAACCTGCTTCTGGAGAAAATAGTTCGAGCTGCAGAACTAAATAGAGAAGGTACCATCTTCTATAAGAGTGCACAGCTGCTGGCGTATGCCGATGATATTGATATCATCGGCCTCAACAGCCGCGTCGTTAGTTCTGCTTTCTCCAGACTGGACAAGGGCAGGACGAAATATCTCCTGTCATCAAAAAAACAGTCGTCGCACTCGCGACTTGGCACTCACGTCACTGTTGACAGTCATTGCTTTGAAGCTGGGGACAATTTCGTCTATCTTGCAACCAGCGTAAACACCACCAACAATGTCAGCCTAGAAATCCAACGCCGGATAAGTCTTGCCAACAGGTGCTACTTCGGACCGAGTAGGCCAAACTCTATAAGTCACTCATAATTCCCGTCCTGCTATATGGTGCAGAGGCTTGGACGATGTCAACAACGGATGAGTCGACGTTGCGAGTTTTCGAGAGAAAAGTTCTGAGAAAGATTTATGGTCCTTTGCGCGATGGCCACGGCGAATATCGCATCCGATGGAACGATGAGCTGTACGAGATATACGACGACATTGACATAGTTCAGCGAATTAAAAGACAGCGGCTAAGCTGGCTAGGTCATGTTGTCCGGATGGACGAAAACACTCCAGCTCTGAAAGTATTCGACGCAGTACCCGCCGGGGGAAGCAGAGGAAGAGGAAGANTGGACGAAAACACTCCAGCTCTGAAAGTATTCGACGCAGTACCCGCCGGGGGAAGCAGAGGAAGAGGAAGACCTCCACTCCGTTGGAAGGACCAAGTGAAGAAGGACCTGCCACGTAGCGAAAAGAAGAAACGACTAGCACGGTTATTAACTCGCGTAAGCGGTGACTACGCCAATCAAGAAGAAGAAGAAGAACACTTTTTCCATCTACATATTGTTGCGAATTTACTCCTTACAGTTTACTTTACTAGGTTCGTACCTCTGGATTGACAAATAAAATCAAAAACCGTATAATTAACTTTTACAAAATCTCGTTATTTCACAATTCGTCTACACTATAGCAGTTTACTCTTAGCACTCCTCTCTTACGTTAGTGCTACCACGGCTTATATAGCCACGCACTTCTCGCTGATGTCGACGTTACCTCTAGAACGTTGCGTCTGGCAATTATAAGAACATAATGCTATACGTTCCATATACGTTCCATATACAGTTAATGTTTATGCTACAAGTAGAAAAACAGACAACCGTGGCGGCCAATGTTTATAATAAGGAATGCATATAGCAAGATAAACACATATAATAATGCTATACATTCCATATACATGCAGCTATTGTTCATGTTACTCGTATAAGTAATTAAACAGTCAACCGCGGCGCCCAATGTTTATAATAAGGGATGCATATAGCAATACAAATACAAGTGGTACCAAATTTAATACTACTTTTGTAGCACTGCCTTCCACATAAACCTAATCGTCCCGATTAGGCGCAAATCCTCTTGAACCAAATGGGGTGAGCCTCTCCAAATGTACTACTTTCATTTTACATCGCGGTTTTCCATTTTTTTGTATGCGGTATACCACGTCATTAAGTCGTTTCATCACCAAATAGGGCCCTTCCCAGGCCGTTTGCAATTTCGGGGACAGGCCTTTCTTTCAAAGTGGATTGTACAACAGGACCAGATCACCTTCTTCAAAACCTTTTGAATTTGCGACGGGCACTCCGAACCTCGTTATCCAATTTTCTACAAACGCTTCGGCTACTGTCTTCGCTTCTTGGTTTGGTAAGGCATACACTTCTGGCCATTTACTGAAATAGTCCACGACAACCAGTAGATATTTGTTTCCGGCCGTACTGGCTGGGAACGGACCTGCAACATCCATTGCGACTCGTTCAAATGGTGATCCCACGTTGTACTGTTGCAGCCTACCGCGACTTTTGACTTTAGGACCTTTATCTCGACAACAATTCAGTAGAACCGTTGTTTAATCTTCTCTAAAGTTTTTGTAATCTCAAGGTGCCCTGCACTAGGGCCATTGTGATATCCTTTCAATACTTTCGGGATCATGGACTTCGGTACTATGATCAGCAGACGAGACTGTTTGCCATCTTCGCTTTCAAAGGTACGATGAAGGTATCCATTAACGAGGTTTATGCTGTTCCATTGGGCCCAATATGCTTTTGCAGTTGG